GATGCACTTTCTTGGTCATCAAGTCAGTATCTCCAAAGGCTGGGGTATGGCTCAGTGTTATAATCCTTATTGAGCATATGTGAAGCCCTGGGTACCATACTCAGCATCACAAAAACACAGCATCTCCAAGGGTTGTTGTGGAGATGAGGCTACCACACTGACTAAGATGGACAACCACCACTGAAGTGGATATCACACTGTGAGGAAAACAGAGCTGTCAAGAAGCCAGATGTGGAGGAAATGAGGTTAGGTTAGTAAACAGAAGGGAAGGAGGGAAGTGACTTATTCTGAAACTTTCATTGACCAGATCCTGAGAACTGAGTGTGTACAATGCTGGGACATGTTTACCCATCTTTCTGAGGAAATCTCCTTTTACACACAACATGTACACAGTCTGTCACTGTCCCATGTCCAGCCCCACGCACTTCTGGTGGTGGCTCCCACCCATCCTACCCAATTAAGTGATGGGGCGAGATCTCAAGCTGAGGAGTCTGAGTTAAAGTCACATTTGAGTGGACTTTCAGCCGTATGGCCTCTCTGAGATGCCATTACCTCTCATGTTCATTGGTGAAACTCATTCCTTCTCAAAGGACCTCAGGGCTTTCAAATTTTTGTGTGCTCCAGGGGAACCCCCAAAGTGATGTAAGTTCCCTCGAGACAGAGACCATGACTTCCTGTTCCCCTGGTTGTTTCTAGTATTGGGCACAGGGGAAATAAACAGTTATTAGTGAATGATACGGTGTTACTGAATACAACCTCTGCACTGTGTGGAAGGCAAAGAAGGCAGGCTCTTCAGGGATTCCTTCCCCCCATCTCTGTACACTGATTCTCGGGGTATGGTCTGTGGGCCACCAGCACCACCACACTACCTAGAGTTTGACTGATTCTTACTGAAGCTGAAGAAACATTGTCAGATACAGTAGGGAGAGGATGGGATGGATATAAAATGTCCACCTCCTTAGACCTGTGCAGATCGGGGAGCAAGCTATAAAGATTTCCCACACACACCCATACACATACACGCTTCCCTACCCTCTTGCAGGCTAAGGGATGGCAGCAGTGCCCCTTCTTGTTTCAGGAAAACCTACAGACACTTTGAGAAGACCTGGAGGTAAGCTCTGTTCTCCACCCTGAGCAGCAGGTACCAGAGAGCTTTGGAGAACCTCTTCCCTAACCCAGCAGTTTCCCAGATCCCTGGGAAGTGAGTACCACAACTGCATGGTCCTGTGCCTCTCCTCCTACTCAGGCCCTCCTTCCCCATCTCCTGGATCAAAGCGATGGGGCTGAGATGAACGCTCCTCTGTCTTATTCCATGTACTCTCTGGAACCAATTCACAACATACACCTGAAAATAGCTGTGCACACTTGCCAAACAGGAGGTGGATCGAGGGTTACATCAGAAGAGCCAGACCCCAAAACAACTCAACTGAGGTCCTGTACTAGCTGGGGCATGAGGGCTCATATCTGTAGCACCCACTCAGGAAGAGGATGAGCTAGGTGGATTTCCATGAGTTCCAGGCTAACCAAGATGGCTTCAGAGAGGGGGGAGAAAGAAGGAGAAAAATAGAGAAGGTGAAAGCAGGAACAAGGAGAAAGGAGAGGTAAGGGAAGGGGAGGGGAGGAAAACTTACAATATCTAAAATAACGCCAGGAGACAACTGGAGCTCCATGGACTTTTTCCACTGAAGGCCCACATGGTGGCTTACTGCCAGGAAGAGTATGGGGGAGCTGGCCATACTACTAGGAACTGTGGAATAGAAAGATGATGAATCCATGGTGCTAAGTGCAGTCAGCTCTAGGGGATGGGGAGGGAGGCCTTCAGAGAACTAGGAGACAGTTGGAGAGATGGGAGATTTCTGCCTGACTAAAAGAGGATTCTAGAAAAGCTGTAGGAAACCTGTCTTTGAATATGTAAGCAACCGTGGGTAGCAGAGAGAAGCCAGCTGCCAGGTATGTATTGTGCAGCTCCGTTTACTCTGTACAACCCCAAGAGGCAGTTGTGGTGTTCTTGTGACTCATTTTATTAATAAAGAAACTGAAGCACAGAGAAGCTTGGGTACTAGTAACGATCACACAGCAAATAAGTAGAGGTGGGAGTCATGCCTGGCCAGTCTGACTTAGAAGCCTCAGCTTTTCTTAGTAAATCTCCCTGTTCCCCAGAAGGTAACCAAGAAAGGATAAAGCAGCTGGCCAAAGCCAGGCAGTGAGTGACACTGTAAACCAGGATTAGTTAGTCACAGAGCTGAAAGGTTTAGTTGCCTGGCAACTGCCCCTCCTGTAGACATTCCTGTCCCTGACTGCCCCTGGTCTATGTACTGGAGGGGCTGAGTTTCACACATGCCATGAAGTGCTGACTGGACAAGGCCTAGTGTATTTATGTAATCTAAGATTTGCTGACTGAAGGAAACCAGTGCCTACAAATGGACCCATGATATGGATCAGATACTATCCTAGGCTTCAATCACTTACCCTATCAGGGCAGCCCGGTAGAGTTTTTAAATCCCCAGCACTAACTATAACACTTGTTGCCTACAGGGGTCTCCTGGAGTTCCTTTAGTCCCCTGGAATACCAAGCCAACACTAGTACAATCGTCTGCATTGACAGATGCACACAGAGAGGTGCACAGACACACACAGATGGGCACATGTGATTTAAACAAGCAAGAGCACACAGTGATATGCATGCTTGAGTCAAGAGGCAAGGACAGTCAGCCAAGTACTTTGCCCTGGCAGAGGTAAACATCCACAGATAAGACAAAGACACACACAAACACACACAAACACACACACACACACACACACACACACACACACACACGCAGGCAGGCACTAGGAGTTTGAAAGACAAGCCCAGACAGACATACACAAAGAAACAGAAAGACCTTTATTAGTCTCACCCATCTCACTGTTCTGCCAGGGAAACACAAGGTCCTGGATATCTTTCGATAGCTAACAAAGGCCAATTGTTAAAATGAGGATTTATATGCAAATAATGTTTACAAAGTGCCCCCCCCAGCCACAACAGTAAGTGAATGGGACGGTAAACCAGGGAAAAGCCTGAGGGCGCATGAATTACCAGATTACCTTAACAAGAGCCTGGGGCTGAACCTTGCTGAGGTCTCAAAAGCCCCTTCTTATCCTCCTACTTGATAGAACTGAGGAAGAAAGCTATTTACTCTGAAATTTTCAAGAGCCTCCCCTGACCCCTGCATACAATGATAAAGACATGCTGGGCTCCCGTGGAACCGTGCACAGGCATTAGAGGCACCCCAAAAGTCTTCTATCCAAAAATCGATCTCTCTCACACATACACCACTCTGGAAGGAACACAAAATTAGATCTGAGTTATTTTAAGTAGACTTGGGATGTGCTCTGATCAACATTTCTGAGTGATTTCTCCAGATAGAGGTAAGAGTCAGGAAGGGGGCTGGGGGTCTGAGGCAACCTGGAGCAGGACTGGAGGCAGATAATCTCCTCCAGAGGCTGAGATACCCCACACTGTGGCTTTGAGTATTGGATCAGTCAAGCAGGGGCAGAAATTTAAGTAACCAAACAGAACCTTTGAGAACTGAGAGGCTGAAAGAACTGGGAGAGTTGGTACCTAACTCCCTGCAGCTCCTCTTAAATCAAGAACATGAGGGCTCTGAGCCCACACCAGGGAGGCAGGAACTGACATATAATTACACCAGGGTGCAACTGTGTAGACACACGGAGAAGCTGTACTATTCCGTACCCTTTAGGGTGGACTCAGGCTGACTCCATCAGTATGCATCTGAGACCATGTGTGACAGTGTCTAGGGGGTATGTTCAAGAAGTGTGCATATACTTTCTACCCTGCAGGAACTTTTCTCTGGGTCTTCATCTTCCCTGCCTCCTCCTGGGTCAGCATGTAACCATCCAGGCAGAAATAAAGGTATTCTAGAGACACTTGTGTCTCTCAGCCTATCAGACAATCTATCAGACAGTGAACTCCCAAGGAAATGGAAATTTCCCCAGAATTCTATGACTGGGAGAAGAAAAAGGTACCAGCCAGAGGGGAAACTTGTCTCCTGAAAAGAGATTTCAAGAGTTCTAAAAGCTTGTCAGACCACCGTACAGGATGAGACTAAAACCTAGATAATAATGGGTTAATGGTGGGTGGAGCCATACCTTGATAAGGACTACTTAAATGTACTTATTATCCTTGACCCTCTATCTAAATTTTTTTTATCTAACTTTAGAACCCTGAGGTCGAATTTAGGTGATTCACAGAATCTCTTTGCCCCCCTTCCCAGTATAACCACATTGAAAAAATCTCTTTCTAAAGGTTTCCAATTTTAATTTGGCTCTTTCAATTGGCTTATTGAGGATCAGGTAGCCAGACCTGACTTCCGGCACAGGTTGTAACCCCCGACATTGACAACAAGCAGTCAAGGTTTTCTGGGCCACAGACCTGACACTTCGCTGATTAACTGAAACTGTTGAACGAAGAGAACCACCTACAGCATACCCGGGCATAGTAGTCGAGAAGAGAGAAGTAGCAAGGATGGGAACGTTTAAGACAACTCAAAAGTTGAAGATTTCCCACTCATGCAGACTCCCAGGACCTCCTCCTTTGTTACACAGCGCAAAGCCACTATGTTACAAAAGATAAAACAAAAGAAAGAAAGCACGAGGTTTGCGGGTCCAGCTATTTATTCCAGAGTAAGTTAACACGCTCATTCGGCTCTGCCTACAGACTCCCTCCGCCTTTTTGCCATTCTCTTCACTCAGTGGTTAAAAAAAAGCATACCCCACCCGATCCAGATTCTCTTGCTCCTAGAACTCGCTGTTTGCAAAAACCGCATCGCGGAAACCCAGCAACCAGACTAAGTAAACACTAAGCTCATGCACAACACGCATGCGTTTACTAAACCCAGCCCCCGGGGCAAACGTCCCCCTCCTTTCCACCCGTCAGTCTACCACAAGTGCGCTTCCTGCTCGGTACGGAAATGGACGTGTCTGACGTCATATGAAGGCGCCGACGGTTCCGAAGGCTACACGTGAGCCATGGATACGCCGCTGAGGCGCAGCCGGCGGCTGGAAGGCCTAAAACCTCTGTCTCTAGAGAACCTTCCTGACCCCGAAGTCTCGCGGGCGAAACGGGCTCTTGTAGATTTCAAGTCGAACCCAGAAGAAACAGGAGAGCTCAAGTCTCCGAGAGTCCCACCACTGGGCCTTGCGTCTCCCCGACCTCAGCCGGAGACTAGCCCCGGACCACCCTCTCCTACACAGGATGCAAGCTTTGGGTCCCCACAGAGGCAGCCAGAGCCACGTCCTGAGTCCCCTCAACCTCATCAAGATCTGGGCGTGGAGTCATCTGCAGGACAGACAGAGTCGAGTCCGGAATCCCCGCAACAAGAGCAGTCATCCAAATTATCTCCCACACCGGGAGAACTGGACTCTGAGGCGGCCCACGCTAAGGAGGAGGTCATCCCAAGATCCCCCGAACCTTGCCCAGGTCAGCAAGCACCGGGTCCCGAGCCCTCTCAGCCAGCACAGGAGCTGACACTCCAGGCACCTAGCTCCCCAGAGCGCCAGCTGGAGCCAAGCAAGCTGCCTCCGGCCGGAGAGACAGTGACAGTAAGTCTCGACTTAAAGAAGCGAGTTATATCTTCTCCCCAGGCCCCAGCAGCCAAGAAATTGAAGAAGGAGGATCTTCCTGTAATTCCAAAGGGGAAACCCAAATCCGGGCGTGTGTGGAAAGACCGCTCCAAGAAGAGGTAAAGTGGGGGTAGCATGGGCGATGTGGTGGGTTGGGTTCTCCGTGCATTTGGACATTGCCTTCGCCGGAATGCTATCCCAGGATTGGAAAGAGCTCACCCAAGTGAAATTAACAAACAGAATCATAATGTCAAAATGCCCTTAGCCGGGCAGTGGTAGCGCACGCCTTTAATCCCAGCACTTGGGAGGCAGAGGCAGGCGGATTTCTGAGTTCGAGGCCAGCCTGGTCTACAGAGTGACAGGACAATCAGGGCTACATAGAGAAACCCTGTCTCGAAAAAAAATAAATGCCCTAAGGTTGGGGAGGGAGATCCTCAACGGTCATTACTTTATTGTCTCTGCTCTAGGGGATGTTCTTTTGAACTTCCTTTCCATCCATTTTCTATTGTGAGGCGGGGTCTCACCGTGTAGCACTGGCTGTTCTGAAATTCACAGAGATATGCCTGCTTCTGCCCCCCTAGTGCTGGGTTAAGGCATGTTGCCACCTTTACGTTGTCTGCCACATGTAGTGAGGGAGGCAGAGCTAGCTATTGTCTTTGATAAAAATGTATCATGGGACACTGGTTGTGTGTCACTTCCCTAGGGATGGCCAAAGAGAGTGTCTTATGTAGCCAGCAGCACGTGTAATCACGTTTGATCTTTATCTGCCTTTTGGAGCAGGTGTTACTTACTAGTATTGATGTTGTACATCTGAGGGACCCAAGGCTCAAGGAGGCTAACTGAGACACGGGATGGGAGCATGATTGCAAAGCATGTGAGGGGAAGGAACCCATGAACATGCCTCGTTTGACCAGCTTCACTTGGGTCACAGCCTTCTTAAGACAGGAGGTCTTCCTTGTCCTTCCGGTGCTGGGACATGGTAGTGCTCGGTTTATATTTTTCAGTGAGGAAATGAGGAGGCGCCTGTGGAAAGGGCATTGTTTAGGCAGCAGGGAAAGAGAAGTAGGGTTCTTTTAAACCATAGGGAACAGGGCATTAGAGAACTTAAGAAAATGACATTGACAAAGGGTGGACTGTGCCAGGCTTTGTGCAGGCTCTTTACAGAAGTCACTTTGTTATATTCTTAAACCCTAAGTGTTGGGCATAACCCCTCTCCCAAAATACCCCATTAAACAGAAGAAAGTGAAACTTCAAGAGAAAGGTACCAATCAGAGAAACTTTGAAGCTGCTCCTTTTCCCTGTCCCAGCAAGTCACAGTAGCCAGGCCACTGATGGCTACAGGTAACCAGCTAAACAGGCTCTCAGCTATTCCCATCTGCACTGTTATCTGCACACAGAAGGTTGCTGTAGCTGAGAGGCCTCCTTGCCCAGGATCACACAGGCCATGAGGACCAGACATCCAGGCCTGTCTTCATCTCCGGTAACTAGTACTGAACATGAACTCTGCCTCAGTGCTGTAGCCACCAGCCACGTGCGACTATTTACATTAGCTTTATGAGATGAAATATTCTGTGAGTTTTCTTAACAGGAACCACAAATCAAGTGCAACCTATACATAGCGGTTCCCTTCCAGGACAGAAGAGGTGTAGATCATTTCCATGATGGAACATTGTTGTCACTGATACTCTAAAAAGACATAGCATCATGTCTTATGGCTCTGGCTTCTCCAGGCTTTCATCATCCTGTCCCTTCAGGATTCTCAAATCTCAGGTTTTTAAGAGTAGAAAGGAAGGCCAGGCGGTGGTGGCGCACGCCTTTAATCCCAGCACTTGGGAGGCAGAGGTAGGTGGATCTCTGAGTTCGAGGCCAGCCTGGTCTACAGAGTGAGTTCCAGGACAGCCAGGGCTATACAGAAAAACCTTGTCTCGAAAAATAAAAAAAAACAAAAACAAAAAACAAAAAAAAGCAAAAAACAAAAAACAAGAGTAGAAAAGAAATTCCACAAGCCACCCACTGCTCTGTTTTTAGGAAGCTGTGTCTTGAGCAAGCTTGGAGACTTGGCAGGAGAAAAGCATGCTGGTATCAGAAGCTAACCATACAGTGGGAAGAGGACAGAACCAGGCTGCCTATGAATAAGCCTGGTGCCAAGTTCCAAACTGTGTGTGCCAGACTCCTGGGAAGGGAGCAGACAGCTCAGAAATGCACTATTGACCTTTGTCTGGTCAGCAACAGACTGTCCAGCATGCACCAAGACCTTCAGAGACAGGGTTGCCACAAGATAGCCTGTAATAGGCAGGTAAATAGGAACTCCTACAGGAGTCAAGGTTGTAGTGTGGGAAGCAGAAGGGCCACTGTGAAAGGATCTGCTGAGGAGCCTTAGAGTTCTGGGGATAAGATAGGGGAAAGAACAGGCCTGCGGGACACCCAGAAGACTCGGCAGGTAATGGGGGAGAGACCAGACATGGAGGCTTGTCTTCATTTTATTTTTACTTTTTATCACAGAAAAGGAAAGAGCTGAGTTTTATGAGTCCTATCACCAGCTTCAACAGTTTTCAGCATTTCCTGGCCCAGCTTCATCTTCCGTTCCTTGTCCCTGCACTTACCCCTCCTAGAGTGTTTCCGCATACCCTAGAGTGTTCTTGTAGATGTCATCTCCATTCTTGTATGACTCTAGGAACATTTGACTCTCCAGAAAAGCCAGACTTTCCCCCAAATCTCACTTCTCCACCTTCACATCTCCCAAACTAGAGAATAATCTGAATTTGTTACAGAAAGGCCTTGTTACTGCTGTTTGGACGTAAAGTCACACCCCTCTAGGGAATGAGCACCTCATCTCCAGAGGTATTCACTTACAGGTTACCATGTTTGTTGGTGGCAGCAAAACTTCACAGCTGAGGCTGTATGAGTACAAAAAGCATCAAGTCCCAACCCACACTCAGGAATGTGAGAACTCTTGGAGTCTTGGTTAGTTAGTTCCTCTGTAGAATGGAAACAGGCCTACATGCTTAGCAGCCTGTTCTATCCTAAGTTTCTGTAGGAAGCTGAATCCCAGGCAGGCAGGAGAGGACAGGAAGCAGACCCAGAGCCCAGTGAGAGCAGGGTGTGAAGGCAGCACCACAGAGGTCCCCTAAGTGCCTCCTCTTCTGCCAAGATTCTCCCAGATGGTTCAGGACAAGCCCCTGCGTACCTCCTGGCAGCGGAAGATGAAGGAGCGACAGGAGAGGAAGCTGGCTAAAGACTTTGCTCGGCACCTGGAGGAGGAGAAACAGAGGCGCCGGCAGGTAAGGGACCATCCCTCCAAGTCTGGATCCCAGCAGCCAAATACATATCTGCTGCAATAGACACTGGGAGTATGACAGACACAGGAGTATGACTTAGAGCCCATGGGTATGAGGGCCCCAGGGGTAAGAATAGTCTAGGGCCATGATAGGAGTCCTGCTCAATCATCCAGCTAAGCCTGTGCTCATGGACATGCAGGAGACCTGGAAGTAGAGTGAGGAGCCTGAGATAAAGACCAGCAAGCCATCTTGGTGGCAGGGGCGTTCAATGTGGTGGGGTCAGGCTCCTCTCTGAGACTTGTTTATGAGGGCAAAGCTTGCCTGAGATTTGTTTCTGTCATTCTAGAAGAGACTCCCACACACCACCCTGGAGGTGGTCCCTGCACTTTCCTTCCAATTCACTCCCCTTTCCCCCATCTCAGAACCAAAAATGTCCTCATTAGAAGTTCATGCCCATGAGCTAAACTGACTAACATGCACAGAGCCTTGTGCTCAATCACCAGCACCACAAAGGCTTGTTCCCAACACCATTAGCCTCCAGGAAGTCTTGGAAAGAGTCCCAGTTTTACTTCAGCAGCAGTACTGAGTTGGTAAGCAGGATTGTCCCCAGGACCGAGTTTAGCTGTCACTGCTAGTCTGGTGAGCCCAGGGTACAGAAGGAGCACTAATTCAAATGACTTGTCTCAGATCTGTGGTCCCAGCTTGACCACTGAGAGGGATGGACCAATCACTAAGGCATCCTTCCACCTGGCTTTGAGTCACTCCAGACCTAGCTGGCACTGAGGCCTCGTCTTTTTTCTTGTGCAGCCTTGACTCCCACTTGGCCACAACAGTTGCCAACTCATGAGCAACTAGAGAGGTGCATCCTCCCAGCCCTCCTCCTAATACATAAGATCACAAGTCACTTCCTCCCCAAGGGTCCAGGCCACCCCCATGACCCCAAGTTGTCAAAGCCACGGAAAGGCCTGACCACATAGCAGTCAGTTGGAGCCACCATCCATGCCCTAGCCCTGTTAGTACAGTGGCAGCATAGCCAGGAAGCCTTGGACTTGCCACCCCCAGAACAGGCTCTGAGTGTCCTTGGAAAGCTGGTACTATCCCAGACCTTAGTCACACACTTATTTCTTAAGTCAGTCTGATGAGGTAGGTCCTGTGGTCAACTTTACTGTCGAGGTGAGGAAGTGAAGGTATAGACTCAGCACAGCACGCTAATTAGAAAGTAGAAGAGTGAAGACTCAAGCTGGACCAGGTTCCTTCAGAGCCTTTTGACAGCTCATCCTGCCCAGCCCTTCCTGGGGTCAGTTGTGGAGCCCAGCTATAACCTGGCCTTGCATTCTCATTCTGAGACACCTGAGCCTGGGCAGAAGAAAACCTGGGACCAGCCCAACCTTCTCCCTGGCAGCTAGTGCATGGGATGGTACAAGGGGCCATTCTGTCTGTGTGTGACTTCTAAGCGGGAAGGCACCCTCATCTTGGCCCATTCAGTCATTCTGTGGAAGCCCCTGCCTTCAGATGTCTTATCTGTTTACTCACCTTCCTTCTGTTTTGGAACCGGGTACTCTTGCTGTGCTGGGCCTCAATTCCAGGCCCACAATACAGACATTGCATCCCTGTTCTTCCCCAGAAGTGCCTAGGCCTCTACCCTCCCCCCAGGAGCAACCTGGATGGCAAGCAGGCTTCTCCTCCTAGGATTGTGTCAGTTCCCACTCACCAGGGGCCTGAGATGCTAGAGCCATCTCAGCTCCTAGCCTGAGATTCCCTTTCTGTGTGTTTCAGGAAAAAAAAGAGCGCCGGGCTGAAAACCTAAGACGCCGTCTAGAAAATGAACGCAAGGCTGAGATAGTCCAAGTGGTGAGTACCCACCAAGGGGCACAGGCTGTGGAAGGTGAAAGAGGGTTTTAAGGTACTTGGGGTCCCTGCCTTACATGGTCCATTGTCCTGCTGCAGTTCTGGGCCCCTGCTGCCCCTTTCCCCAGAGACAAGCACAGGGTTCTCATCCACACTGATGCCTCCTATTTCCCCCTTCTTCAGATCCGAAACCCTGCCAAGCTCAAGAAAGCAAAGAAGAAGCAGTTGCGCTCCATTGAAAAGAGAGACACCCTGGCCTTGCTCCAGAAACAGCCACCCCAGAGGCCTGTAGCCAAGGTCTGAGCTCAGGACAGTCCAGAGGCCTCAACAAACCAAGAGTCACAGCAAACAAGGCACCTGGGGCAAGCACACCAACACCGTCACATTAAGAGGGAGACGGAGACTCCAGCCCAGAGGGAACTGAAGACTGCTGGGACTCAAGAAATTTACCTGTCCCCATCTCCTTTCCCGTCTTTTCCACAGTGCCTTATGATCATGAACTGTTGCCGGGTGGTAGCAGCAGTGCATACCTGTGCATTAATCCCAGTGCTCAGGAGACAGAGACAGGGCGGATCTCAGAGTTCGAGGCCAGCCTTGTCTATGGAGTACAGGATAGCTAGCCAGGGCTACACACAGAAATCCTATCTGAAAAACCAAAACAACAAAACATGTCTTGGAACTGTGAATTCTTGTTCCCCAGTGAGCTGGTAACTCCCTGTCTTTGGGTCTTAAGTCTCACCCATGCCTGGAGGCCTGCTGTCAGAAGTCAGTGCCTCCATTTTTTCAGTGACACCTTAGCCACTTGTGCATTCTGCTGATTTGGTCTCCTCGGTCAGCTGAAGGCAGCCCTTCCCTAGTTTGGCACTGGAAGATTAAAGTGTGGAGTTGGAGAGAGCTGAGTTTCTCTCCAGCACCCCTTTCCCACACTGAACTATAGAAGCCTTTGGGCTTGAGCCATGCCCACTTGCTCTACTGCAGAGGTGTTTATTGGTATCTGCATAGGTACAGCTCTGGGCTCCCAGAAACAGAAGTCTCTGTCCCACTGGGCCTTCATTATCATAATAAACCATTAAAATACATGGTGTGACAGGTACACTGAGTAAAGCAGGAGGGACTTGGTGACACTTTCCAGTTTTAGAAGAACCTGCTGCAGGCTTGGGGCCTGCTTGACAGAACTGACAACCAGCCTGGCCTTAAATGGTTCAGGAGATCCTGAGAATACCCCATCCCTGTTCCATATCTACCTGTTTCTGACATCAGCTCCCCTTCCCCTAGAAGGTAAAGATGAGTCAGCCAGCTGCCCTGCAGTCCATGGTGGGAGAGCATGAGATGTGTGGTGGAAGGTCCCTGACTGATACATGGTGCCCCTCCCACCTGTAGGCTGGAAGTGATGACTGTGAGGCAGCTAATAAGGGTAGGTGGTTCTCTCTGATAGAAGTGATCCAGTGATACTGAAGTCCAGAGTGCATGGGCAGCAGCAACAGCCCTAAAACTGGACAGTGAAGATCCTGAATGGGAGTTGAAACACCAATATGGCTAACAAACTGACTGGCAAGGTGTGGTTAAAGCATCTGTCTCAGGCCAAATGAGGGACTAAGAGTGAAGGTGGTTGGCTGCAAACTTTCTCAACCCTTCCTCTCACTGACCCCCATAAACACCATTGCTAATTGGCAGTCTCCCTTTGCCCCATTCGCAAAGCAGGGCCTTATGAGATGCAGGCTGTGAGCTTTGCCTGCGTGATTAACAATTGCCTTGGGCCAGCTGCCAGGAAGGTAATAGAAGTACAAAATCTTACCTAACTCAAATCAGTTGCCCTAGCAAGATCCCTAGGCAATTAGGTACTTTTGTTCTTAAATGTGTAGAAACCTGGAGGCCAGCAGTCAGGAACCAGGTAACTCCTCTAAAGGGTACGTTTGCTTCCAGCTCCACACTGCAAGATTAAAGTGTTTAGGAAGGGCTGTTTCAGTTCACCTTGCTCCCAGAGACTGAGTCGCCCAGGGCATTTTCATAAACTAGTTTCCTGGACACTACCCAGGAAGCTACAACCTGGGCCCGGCATTAACTGTACATTTTCAACTGTGTATTGGAGAGGCTCGGGATGTGTTGGCATGCTATCTGGACTGTGCCGGTCTAATCCAAAGTACAGCTCAATGAGCCCCGCTTCTCCTGGGATGGCTATCGGACCCTCTGTGGGAGCTCTGCACTGCCACGCCTCATCCAGCGGATCAAGCGCGCAGGACGCAGATGGGGAAGTCGGTCCGCCAGCAGGAGGGTAGAGGCTGGGGTGGCGGTGGAGGAGGCGCGGCGGCGGCGGCTGCGGTTGCCAGGCCCACCACTCAGGTCGCTGTCCTCCACCAGCACGCTTTCAAGCACCGCGCGTAGCGAGCTCCGCAGCTTGTGCAACATGTCGGGACAAGTGAGCACATAGAGCAGTGGGTTGACCACGCTGTTGAAGAAGGCCAGGCTGGTGACAAAAGGCAGCCCACGTGACGCGAGCTGCCGTAGCGTGGTGACAGAATGGGCACGAGCCTCCAGCAGACTGAAGATGTGGTAGGGCCCCCAGCACAGCACAAAGGCCACCACAATGGCCGCCACCAGGCGCACGAAGCGGCCTGTCCTCTGGTGACCACGGTGGTGCAGTTGCAGGCTCACGGCCACGTGGCTCAAGGCTATGATGGTCAGAGGTACCATGAAAGCCAGCAGGAACTTGCTGACCGCCAGGGCCTTCTGGCGGTAGTCGCACGTGGTGTCGCGGTCAGGCCCTGGATTCAAGAGCAGCATGTTGTAATAGCACATGATGCGGCCATCAAGCCGCGGGATGGTGTCCCTAAACAAGAAATACGGTATTGTGTTGAGCACCGCCAGAGCCCAGAGCATCAGGCAGACTCTGTGCGCGGCTGCCACCGTGCGGTGGTTCTGTGCCCACACTGGCCTCAACACCTGCAGGCAGCGATCCAGGCTGATGGCGCTGAGCAGGAAGCCGCTGGCAAACATGTTGAGGAAGAAGACCGAGGAGTGTAGCTTGCAGAAGGTGGTGCCCAGCTCCCACGAGTGGCCCACTGCCAGAAAGTAGGTAAAGAAAGGCAGGGAGGCGGCAGCTAGTAAGTCGGACAGCGCCAGGTGCAGCACCCAGGTAGTGACCACTGTCTGGCGCATGCGATAGCCCACCACAAACAGGATGAGTCCGTTTTCCACCAGGCCCAGCAGCGAGGCCAGCCCGTGCAACAGCACCGACACGTGGTCAATATAGCGGAGGCTGGAGTTGCTGTGGTTTGGAAGCTGGACCATCTCCTCCAAGAGTGGACAGAGCGGCTTCAGTGTGACGTTGGCCATGGCAAGGTGGAAGAAAGGAGGGCTGAGCCTGACACCCAGGAACCAGAAGCCTGCAGCCTGGGCAAGAGATGAACCTATCTCAGAGTTGCCAGTATTGCCTGATAATAGGGTGGACACTGGGAATCTGTGAAGATAAGCAAGACAAAGGAGTAGTACAGTTTTGGGCAAGCCAAGTATAGTCTTCCTGAGCCTAACAGTCTCTAGTTTGTAGGGCTACTGGAACAAAATTAGAACAAATTTAAAAGGGCGTGGGGTAGATGGGGAAACTCCAAGTTTGTGCTATGCAAGTATGAGGAGCTGAGTTTGATCCCGGCACCCAGGTATACAATAGGAAGAGGGTGGTCCATGTGCTTGTAATCTTAGTGCTGGAGAGAGAGACAGGTGGATCCCGGGGGCCCACTGACCAGCCAGCCTAAACTGCTCAGTGAGTCACAGGTCCCAGAGACCTTAACTTTAAAAGACAAGGTAGGAGACTAGAGAGATGGCTCCACAGCAAAGTATATACTGCTTTTTCAGGGGACCAGTGTTTGACTTCCAGTACCCATATGGGGCAGCTCCCAACTGCCTATATAACTCAGTTCCAGTGGATCCAATCCCTCTGGCTTCTGCAGACACCTGCATTCACATTCGTACCTGCAAACACACACACACTTTAAAATAAAATCTTTTTAATGTGGACAGATCTTAAGCAACATCACTCAAGGTTGACATCTGATTTATATACACACATACATATGCCTGCATTCATATGTGCACACACACACACACACACGGGAACTGATATAGAAAAGGCACTGTATCAATACCATTTCAATTACTATTAAGCACTCATCCAAGATCACAAAGGTCAGGCCAGGCAGTATTCATTTTCCCAGTCTCCAAAACAGAGAAGTAGATGGGAGGTCTGTACCACCGAGCCCCACAAGGCCTTACCTCTCTGCAGTTCCTCCTAGAGAGCAGTAGTCAGCCTCAGAAGTGACTGCTTGGGTGTGCTGATTGGTTGATATCAGGGGAGCTGGCCCTTCCTCTGATAGGAGAGGAAATAAGATAAGAGGGACAAGCGTGAGACCTGGCTGGAGGAACTATCACACAGGAACCCAGGGAAGGCAATGACAGTCCTACCTATCCCAGGAAACCCATACCCGTTTACTCACCCATGCACTGGGTCAATAGGCACATTAAGCAACAACTAAGGAGCTCTGGAAAAGCCAGGTTCTCTGCATGTTTGCAGCCTAATGGAGAACCCCAGGGCCCTGTAACAAAGCTGGGGCCAGGGCTAAGGGAATCACATTGTATACTCCCTGCATCAGAGAGGAAATGAAAGCAGGGTGTAGAGACTCAGGCTGTGACAGGCACCCACAATCCTCCAGGTACTGTGGTAGATTCTGAAATAGATGTTCTTTCTCGTGGCTCTGGAAGAAACGTGCCAGTATTCTCTCCATCCCATTGTACAGATGAGAAAACTGAGACACACATGTTTAAGTGCTTGTTGAGCCTATCTAGCTTCAAAAGTGGGATGATAGAAGAAAAGAAAATAGGTTGCAGAGACTTCCGAACTCCTCTTTCTAACAGAACTCCTCTTTCAAACTTCACTGGCCAGAAGGGAAACATCTACTCCCAGAAACCACTGATCTTCATAATGTGGATCTCTGGGACACCAACCTAGAATATCCCTGACAGAATCCCTCTTGGAGGTAGATCAAAGGGAGCAGGCACATCTGACATCTGTGATCTCTATGAATTCTTACTGATCCTACTTTTTAAGCTTTAGCATCTGCAGAACAGTTATACTCACATTAATCTAATGAGAGTAGCTTTCAGAAGAGGAAACTGAGGTTCAGGGAGGTACAGAAGCTGGGCCAGTGCTGTGGAGGGAAACTGAGGTTGGTTTTCCTCCCAGCAGGCAGATGTGAGCTATTCTCTTTCTGCCTTGAGATATCCCATCAGCTACATTGTCAGTGTCATGGGAAGCTCAGAAGACAGTGTTGCTGCACTCTTTGGAACCGCCTATTCTGATCCCTTGGGCTGCATGAAGACAGCTTCAAGACCCGGGATCTTGGGCCACCCAAGGAGCTAGGATCCTGTTATAGTGGGAACCCTGACCTTGAACCCAACTTCCAGCTGGTTTAATTTGTCAGTTTCTCTAAGCTCACTGAGTGATCATGTCCCTTCTCCTGAGATAGCATGGTGGCCGTGATTGAACGGCTCACACACTGGGTCTAGCTAGCACCCAGGAAAACTCTGTCCTTCCTTCTGGGCAGCAGGCCCCACCAGGCTCCTAAGCTCATCTCCTTGTCATCCTAGTTAGGAGTAGCCCTCTGTCTAGTCCTGAGCACACCAAGGTTGCCCAGCCCCTGGAAAGCTGCCTCCTTACCGAGCCGCACAGTGAGCAGTGAACACAGGGTTGAGTCAGGGAAGCTGGCAGCTTCTGAAAGCAGCAGGACTGAGCACCAGGCAAGTGGCAGGAGGGGAGTGAGCTGAAGGAGGAAATAGCTGTCAGCCCTGAAAGCAGGGGCGGGGACACTATGTTCAAAGTCTTTCATCTCCATTTAGGCCACCAGCCCCTGGTCCACCCCTTCTCTTTATGGAGGAGCCTCTGTAACCCAGCGGACAGTGTTCAGTCCTCTACTGCCAATCCCCAGACACCACGATTCTCCAAGGGGAAGCAGTCCAGCTCTTCTGAGGCAGCATGGGCCCTTGTCCCCAGAGAACTAGAGGAAACAGGGAGGGGCCGTGGGAAGAGCACAGAGACCCTTGGCCAGGAGGTCAGTCACTTCTCCTTACTGGGTGCTGCAGCAGTAACCAGGAACAAAGTCTTCTCACAGCAAGTGGTAAGGATGGAATGGAGCAGGTCACGGGGGCATCTGGAACATAGTAAATGTTCACAAAGGCAGCTTCTTTCCCATCCACAGAAAAGTGAGAAACGTAGGTAGCTGCTTTACAATGAGGAAAATAGACCTCAAGTCCTAGTGAGGAGAAGGTCGAGTCTTAGAAGTTTGCATTTTAGCCAGGCATGGTGCTGCACACCTTTAATCCCAGCACTAGGCATGCAGAGGCAGGTGGACCTCTGTGAGTTCAAGGTCAGACTGGTCTACAAAATAAGTTACAGGATAACAAGGACTGTTAGACAGAGAAACCCTGTCTTGAAAACCAACAACAACAAAAGGTTTACATTTTCTTATTGTCTGACTTGTGTAAGCATGAATGTACATATAGGTAAGCATGCATGTGGAAGCCAGAGGACACCTCAACTCTTGTTCTTCAGGGGTCATCCACCTTGTGGTGCATGTATGTATGTGTAATATAAGTGTGTGCGCATGCATGCATGGTGGTACACGTGTTTGTGTATGGATACCAGAGGCCAACATCTGGTGTCTTCCTCAGTTATCCTCCACCTTATTTTCTTTTTCCAGGTTTTATTTATTATATTTTATGCATATAGCCATTTTGCCTACATGCGTGTCTGTGCAACATGTGTATGCAGTGCCCATGGAGGCCAGAAGAGGGCATAGGATCCACTGGAGCTGGAGTTACAGGCACTTGTGAACTGTGATGTGGGTGCTAGAGATTGGATCTCAATCCTCTGGAAGACTAATCAGGGCTCTTTAACCACTGAGCCATCTCTCTACCGTGTGTGTGTGTGTGTGTGTGTGTGTGTGTGTGTGTATACATGTGTAATATGTTCTATAAAATATATTTATATAAATATAAAAATAAACAGCATCAGTGCTATGCCAGCATGAGTGTTCCTCAATGTCTCAAGACACAGGTCAGCAAGGGCCATGGTTGTCTAGACCCTTAGCCACACAAAAGGTTCATGATGCTTGCAGCCCTTCCTAAAAGTACATAGTCCTATACATTCTTGGGATAACGTTCATCTACACCTGAATCTAGACTGTGCCTATAGGCTCATGGTTTGGTTTCCAGCTGGCTGTGCAGTTTTGTGAGGCTGTGGAACTTCACAGGCAGAAGTAGGACAGTAGGGTGAGACTCTAGGGTTAGACCCATCCCTTAGTTCCTGGCTCATGCTTTGACTCCTTTTTCAACATGATGTGACTAGCCTCCCCCACACATTCCAGTACTGTGAATGTAAAGTTCTGCCACCCATTTCCTGCCATGCTGGGCTGAAACTCTTTAACACGGTGGACCAAAATGAATCTTTCTTCCCTCAAGCAGTTATGTCAGGAATTTTGGTCACAGCAGCACAAACATAACTAGTATGTTGCCCAACCCATAGAAGCATGGACAAGGCCATAAGGCAGTATGGTGTAGTGGTTAGGCCAGGACCTTTGTCTCTGCCATTCTCTAGCTAAGTGACCTTGGGTGAATAACTCCACAGCAGTAAAATGTGACTCTTAAAATGTCTTCTGGGGGCTGGAGAGATACCTCAGCATCTGAGTCTGTTTCCTAGCAGTCATAGGAGAAGGCTTAGAACCACCTGTAGCTCCAGTTCCAAGGAATCCAACAGTCTCTTCTAGACTCCACAGGCAACTGTACACACACAGACACATACACACACTCAAACACACACTCACACAACTAAAACTTAGGTGGGGTGGGAGTGTTGGGTGGGTGGGGGAGCACCCTCATAGAGGCAAAGAGGAGGGAGGAGAGAGAGGTTGTGGGATGGGGGGCTTGTGGAGGGGTAACTGGGAAGTAGGATATCATTTGAGATGTAAACAAATGGAATTATTAATTAAAAAATGAACCTTCACAAGCTCTTCCTTCTGTTCAGTTCCAGCCTTAGCGGAGGTTGGTGTGCAGCCTACTGACTGAACTAAGAAAGAGCTCCTTCTTTCCCTAATAGACTTATCTCAGCACCAAGGCAGGAGGCATGTATAGACTTCCTTTGGGCTCTCAGCCCACCCCTGAGTCCTCCCCAGCATGCCTTTGTGCAGTGTACATCCTGCCCAGCTTCCATGGCAACCATGTTAAGGGGCTCTCATTCAGATAAAATCCTTTCTCTTCTGCCTTTTCTCAGTTTTGATCTTGTCATCACTGTCATGTCCCAGCCCTCCCTGAGGATCTCTTATTGCTAAATAAAAAAGTTTCAAAGCCTTAGTAAAGTTACAAAAACAAACCAAAGAAAGGGTCCCCTGGAGTGAGGCATTTTATGAAGAAGTGAAGGGCTCATACCCTCTTCCCCATGTCCTGGAGGGGCTTGTGGGATCCTGGATGATCACATGTGGAGAAAAGTAGCTTCTTCTTCTTCTTTTTTTTTTTTTTTCCGAGACAGGGTTTCTCTGTGTAGCCCTGGCTGTCCTGGAACTCACTCTGTAGACCAGGCTAGCCTTGAACTCTCGAACTCAGAAATCCGCCTGCCTCTGCCTCCCAAGTGCTGGGATTAAAGGCGGAAAAGCAGCTTCTACAGGCATCTACAGAGCCAAGCTCCTTCGTAGATGAGGTGACAGATGTGTGAGAAAGGATGTCAGCAGGATGTGGCGCATGTCTCAGGATCTGACTCAACACTGCCCACTTTAAGAGGAAGAGTATCTGAAGGGTGCCAGAGCAATGGGGGTCCTGGGGAGCAGGGTCACTGGTTAAGAGTGACAGGCAGAAACCATGACTGGTCAGCAGTCCTGTTTAGCCTTAAAGTAGGAGGAGAAAGGCCAGTCAAAAGGAGACCAGGAGGCCATCAAAGCTGTCAGCCCTCCCTGAGATCAAATGTGAATGACAGTGACTGGGGCCTTTGGAAGGTGCTAACTTAGCACCGACCAAAGCTCCTCTGGGCTGGGGAGAAGACCCACTCTGTAAAGTGTTTTGCCATGCAAGCATGAGGACCTGAGTTTGGATTCCCAGAATCCACCAGTCAGACACAACAGCACACACTTGTAAGCCCAGTACTGGAGAAGTGGCAACAGACAGGTCCCTGGAGATCACTAGCTTGCCAGCCTAACCAAACTGGTGAGCTCCAAGTTCATTTGAGAGCCCCTGTCTCAGAAGACAAATATGGTATGTGTTGGCTTATATGTGGATATTAGCTGTTATGTCAATGCTAACCAAGATAAAACCCATAGAACCACAGAGGATAGGTAGAGAGTAGGGGACTTGAGGGAAGTGATAGCTTTTATTAGAAAAAGACTAGATGGCTATGGATGGATGTGGGGAGCAGAAATGGGAGGATCAAGTGCAGAGGGGGAGAAAGTGGGGTCTGGGGAGGGAATATGGGGAGAGACAGCTAAAATAAAGGGCCATCTGAGGGAGTAGTATGAAATCTAACACAGTAGAAACTTCCTAATATATACACATATGATGGCAATCCAAATGAAAATGCCAAATAATGGGGAGATAATTTCACCTGACCATCCCTTGTCACCAAATGAGGTTCCAGTACCAGGATTGGGTTACAGCAAACTGAGCTGGTGGTCAAAGGGGCCCCAAACAACCCAGGCTGTTACCTAGAATTACAGATCGTGCTTCGAAAACTGACAACAAGGCCCCACTGTTGAAGACACAACTCATTGAGCCTGGAGAAGTCAAGCTGGTGCCTACACAGAACCCTCACCCCTATGTACCAGCATCTTTGGTTCTTCTACTCTGCGTGCTATCAAAAGAAAAACATAAACACCATCCCAGCTACACATCCAATGGTGTGCTGCCTGTGTAATGGTGGCACAAAACCTGTGAGTAACCAACCAATCACTGATCCCAGACCCACTCCACGAGATGAAACCCATACCTGACACTGCTTCAGTGACCAAGAACCTGAGACTAGATAGTCTAGTGACATGAGGTAAAATCAGATACTACTGTTCTAAAACAGGGGTGTGGCAATAAAAGAACTCCTAATAACATTTCATCTATTTTTATAGATCAGTGCCTTGTTCAGCCACCATCAGAGAAGCTTCTTCCTG